CATCATTTTAAGTGTTTAAATTTCCTTGAAGATTTGATTTCTAGTTCAGGATTTGATTTCTGTACATCATTTTGGCAATGGAGAGGTTCTTTTGAAGGTAATACCAAATCCTATAATCAGGTTGCCATGCTGTGTATGTAAATTTAACTTCACCAACTCTATCTTAAGTTTTTATCATTGGATATTTTTCTAACAGTTAAAATCAAATATTGTTGATCAAAATTTACTTTATCTATTCTAACTGAGGATATTTTGTCAATGAGGACTATTGATATTGCATAGCTATTTGTAGAATTATAATATTATAATATCCATGATAGGAATATTTGTGACATTGAGTGACACATCCAACAATTCTTTATGCTTGTTGCACAAGTGATAGATTTACAGAGCTGAATAATAGCATTAGTATGGTTATTGCCTCAAGTAAAGCCTACTCCTAAGCTCATTTATCATACTAGTAGAATAAAAAGTAGGATAAATTAGAAATATTGTATCAATTTTATAAATATTTTAACTTATACTCCATTCTTAGTGAGAAAGTTCTGCTAAAATGATAAAAACAAAAGACTGTGAAAGAGAATATGACCGCCAATAGACACAGACACACTGTGTATTATATGCAAGGACACATTTGCTTTATTGATCCTTGGTCAGTGCTCATCTTCTGTGGACAATGAGCTCCTGGAGACTCTCAAGAGAAACAGTTAAGATAGTTAATGTGAATAACAAAGATCCTGCAATTTTACTATGGATGTCCTAATTGTTGGTAAAATGCAACCAAAGATGAATTCCTTGTACTTTATCTGCTGAACTAGTAGTCAATAGAATCCAATAAAATCAGTTCTATAACATTCAGAGGCAGTATTTCTTTGGTATTGCTTTAAGAATACCAGGTCTTCTGTTTTAGGTCATGTAAAGACTGATTAATATGAAAGGAATGTAAGACAACCAGTTTGGCATGTTGATGAAAGAATAGAGTACCATGAGTCCATTTATGTAGCTCAGTTTTTATAAGAATGGGACCTGCTGGTGACCAGTTCATAGTCAGAATGACATGCAACTTTGTGAGGAGGAACAATGCAGACCCATGAAAGCTAAGGGAAAAATGCATTACCAGTGCCAGGTGGGTTAAAACGAGTCTGCAACAACAATTCTTTTTAGTTTTAATGTCTCATTTTTTGGTTTCATATTTTCAGAGGATAGGGAGGTGATAAGAAAAGAGAAATTTCTCAGTAAGGGCAAAACTTTACATAACTGTTTCAGAAAAATATGCTCCCTCTATGTGGATAACTGAAATGACACAAGAAGGATAAACAAAGTCACTTTGATTTTTAGTCATTGTGAGTGGCTGTTTGATAGGCAAGTGCTTCAATCCCTGTCACCAATAAAAATAAGTGTTGTTAGGATATATATCATGCAGGAAGTGCAATTTTATAAAATCCTTTGGAAGATATTTAAATGGACAGTATTCCTGTTAAGACTCCATCTTTACACTTTTTATGGCCTTTTGTTGATCACAGGAAAGGCACTCCCTGCTATGCTAGAAAAGTTTTCCTGTAAGGCTTCATTTATTTTTGCAGCCAATATGTCCCTGCTGTGATGGGTTGTCTCTGGGGACCTTAGCAAGTGTACACTGGAGATCATTTGACTCCTCCAGGAGACTTTTCTGGCTTTGGTCCTCATTGATCAAACTAATCAGTCATTTGTAGTATTTCTTTGCACAATTGGGAACCAAATTTTTGCATCCAAAAGGGACTTGTGGAGTTTTCAGTGGAACTTTTGTCAGAAAGGTGTGTTCAATTGAGCATGATCATCTGCTCAAGCATCACCCCTTCCCCAGTTTCTACAGTGTCTCTTAAAGTGTGGGGTTTTGTCTTCATGACAGAAATGTCTTTGAGTAGCACAAAGAATCAAGTATGTCAAGTGTTTGGTGTCTATTTTCAGTAGAGACATATGAGATGCATAAGGTTAAAAAAAGGTTAAAGAGATTAAGAATCTTCATTGTCCCTGTAGCATTTGGAAGTTTTGAATTTCATTGAAACATATTAACATCATTGTATATGTATATAGATTTTTGTAATTTGACCTGCTGAAGAAGAAACCACAAGTTCATCAACATGAACTAATTTTGCCTTTCCACATGGATGGAATTTCACACTGTAGTCTGGAGTAGTAGTTTGAACTTGCCATCCTTCTGCCTGAGCCTCCTGAGTCTCTAGGATTACAGGCATGTACCACCACGCCAGGCTTAGATTTTTTTTTATAGTAAATTTTGTTACCTTTTTGGGTAAATCACTTCTCAGTAGTAATTTTTTGAAGAAGTTTTTGATGATTCTTGCACAATTATTTTTCAATCTAAATGTTAAAAAAAAATTCGGCCCCAATTTTTTCTTTTCGAATGACTCTCCATTAAAACAAAATATACAAGACTAAAAAAAATGCTTGAGAACTGGAAAGTTGGATTTACATTAATTGAATATACTTTCACATGAAATATCAACTTATTTATTATATTTTAATTCAGGAAAGTGCCAATTTTCTCAACTTGTAAAGTGTCTTTTATGTTTTTCAATTGTATTTTGAAATTTCTTATATTTATCTTCAATTGAATTTCTTTCTCCAACTATGTATATGAATTTTCAATTGATTTTTTTTCATGTGTCCATTTTTTACCAGTATTCCATATACACAAAAAGGCTATTTGAAAATATAGCTGTGGTCATATAGTTAAGAGTTTTCTTCCTTTCATGGTTTGGTTAATTTGGAATATACACACATATAGTACCTAGGCAATGAGATCTTATTTTTGGAGCTAGCCTAACCTTAATACAACACCTAAACAGATAGCATAATAAAAAGTTTTAATTCTTGAACAGAGATGCAAATCTTTAAGAACTTCAAAAACAAGAGGCACAGAATGTTTACAGAATAATGCAGCTTGACTTTTAAAAACTGTATTCACTTATATATCCATTTATTCAAAAAGATCATTGAATACTGAGTGTGTGACAAATTTTGACCTGAGAACTCATTTTAGTTAATGGCCTTTTTATAACCTCTAGCACACACACACACACATACACAAATCTCAGTTTGTATAGTCTAAGTGTACCTGCCTTATACCAACCTTATCCATAAAATAATCAATAACTACTGGCTCTTAGAGGGGCATTGTGAAGGGCAGAGCATAAAATCTCTCTTTTTTTATGCACTTGTTTTTCTCATCACCATTACTCCAAAAGCATTTGATGTCAAAATATTGGTCATTTTGCACATGCCAGGCCTTCTGTGCTCCATCAGTGTACCACAATACCAAGTCTTTATTCTCCCCAATTTCCTCCTTCCACCTCTAACCCCACTTTCTCATGCCCTATATTTGGGTTGGTGAAGACTGAATGGATGGTTTCTGAGTGATCCTGTATTGTAACTTCCTTCAATTTCATTTGGAAGGCAGAGGTGTGAGTTGAAATATTAAAAGAAGCATTTTCTACAATTTTTAAAAAAACATTTTAAATTATGATAAAATCTGCTTAACATAAATCTTACCACTCCATCATTTTTATGTGCACATTTCAGGGGTATTAAGTATAGTCACACAGTTGTACAATCACCCATCTGTGCAAAGCTTTTTATTTTGTAGAACTGAAACTGTTCTGTACTGTTTTTTTTTCCAACCCAGAATCATCCCTACCTATTTTGCATTCTTGTCATGTATCAGAATAGAATTTGCAGCAAGTTTTACTGTGAAAATCCCATACTTGAATTTATTGGGCTTTAATCCTGTCCCCTCTCCATTCTTTTGCTCTCCCTGGCACTGCACAGTCCCTTCACAGTCCCTTCATCTTCTCTAATAGTCACTCTTCTACTCTCAGGTCTTCATTTTTTTCTCCTTATTTGAGAGGAAACATGCAATGCTTATGTGGACCTGAAATTCTTACATAAATCCATATCTGCAAAGCTATTACAGATTGACTCTGGACTCAGAAGCTCCTTCATCTGAATCCATACAGAGAGAATTCCAGGAAACACCGGCCCAAGCCTCCCTTCATATAAAAAGACCTTGAGGCCATACCTGCATTGGAGTGCAGCCTTAGCACCTGCCTGACTTGTATAGCTGGGCACCTTGTCTTGGAGCCAGTGAAATAGTGGGGAATAAGACACTTATCTTGGATCATTATGTAGGGACCCAATGGCTTTAATTATCTATCATGTTTCTTCTGTGTAGAATTCATACATCTCACTTTTCAATTATTTTTGAAATTTTGGAGTCTTTGTGTATTGGTTACATAGAATTACTTTCTCCCCTTGGAAATTTTTATTAAAAAGATTAGTTTCCTTAAAATTGATACTATTTAAGAAGAGAGGAAATAATGATCTTTCCAACAGTAGTAATTTCTTAACTAAGACCAGCTATTCATTTTTTTTTGTCTCCATTTAATGATTACAAATTATATACATGGTAAATGTCAGTTACTGCTTAACATGTGGGATGCAGTTCTGAAAAATGCAGTATCTCTCAATAATGACTTGACTTCTTATTACTTCCTATAATATTTTCATAAATTTTTCATGGATTACAGTTTGGTCCACAATTGATTATAGCCTGTGCTTATAAAAATCTGTATTAAAATACCCATATCAATATCTTCTGGACGACAGAAATGCCCTGGGATGCTCTACTAAAGCATTTTGATGTCAGGTACAGTCCTAAGAATAAGGAAGATCTTATAGGTTATGATAGCTGTACTTCAGATTTACAAGAGCCACCTGAAGATTGATGTGCATTTACATGATGAGGGATGAGGACATAGTTCTGACTTCTGGAAGGAGTCCAGGAAATCATTTTCCGTAGTTCAGGCCCTGCCCACAAGGGGGTGCAGCTTTCTAACACTAGCTCACTTCCTGTGTGAATTGCAACATTAGGCTCAACTTTACACTATGACTTCAACATTCTTCATGTTAAGAATCAAGAACATTATTTAGTTGACTCTCCAAAGATGGATACTTCTTCAGGCATAGTGACGGTGATGCTCTTGATACTTGGTGAGTAAAATGCTTTTAAAAATGAACTCTTTATTCTATGATGCCAGCAAAGTTTTTAACCGTAAATTTTACTAAGAGTTTTATTACCAAGATGACCCAGATCTTCTCTCCCCTAGGAAGAACCCACGGAGACTCAGTGACCCAGATGGAAGGCCAAGTGACCATATCAGAAGGGGCTTTGCTGACCATAAACTGTACTTTCTCATCCACAAGGTACCCTACTCTTTTCTGGTATGTTCAATACCCTGGAGAAGGTCCACAGCTCCTCCTGAAAGCTATGAAGGCCAATGATAAGGTCAGCAACAAAGGTTTTGAAGCCACATACAATAAAGAAGCCACTTCTTTCAACTTGGAGAAAGCCTCCATCCAAGAGTCAGACTCGGCTGTGTACTACTGTGCTCTGGGTGACACAGTGGCAGAAACTGCAGGGGGAGCTGAGCACAAACTCTGAGCAGCCACCAGGGGCCTGGCTGCTGAGTGTCTGCCTCTGGGGTTCACCCTGGTTTCAGCACAGTCAATGGTGTGTGCTCCTCTATTTCTCTTCTTGATGCAAAAATCATACAAATATCCTGAGCAGCAACAGAAGGATGGACACCCCCAACTCAGCTCTTCACTAGTGAAAGTGAAAACAAAAGCTATCAACAGTAGTTCCTCATGCAGGAACAAAGTAATTTCAAGGTAAAATCACTCAAACAATGGAGTGGTGTCTTTGCTCATCCTTGCAGACAAAGCCCAGACCCCACACATTGTTTCAGGTCACCCTGGTAGATATTGCTGTGGCTTGTTATATTTTTATTGAAACAAATGTGCCAGAGGAGGTGACATGTGCATAAGGTCTCCTCAACAGAGTGTGGAAGGAAAGGTGATAGAATTAGAACCCCCAACGAGGAAATCCAAGATTGCCAATCGAGAAGGAAGGAAAGAGAAGACAGAAAGAGGAACAGACCTCTCACACAGCAACAATGCAGTGAGAGGAAAGGGAATTTCCTCATGCAGATAAGGGTGTCTCTTTTTGGTAGGCTGGTATTCAAAGGAAAGGGAGGGGCCCAATGCATAATTAAAGAAATGACATATGGTTAAATGGTGAGTGGTCCTGGCCAGTCACATACTTCAGTTTGCTTTCTGAGAACCAAACTGACCCATGTGAATCATATGAATCAGTTTGCAGTGCTTGTGGAAGGTTAAACATAGATACATTTTTATTCTGTATTTTCATGAAAACCTATTAGAAAGGCAGTGAATAGTCTCCAAAGGGCATAAATCTCCAGGGTGTAGAAAAGGAGATGATGGCAGTGATGTTGACTGAATTTTAGAGGGTCAGAAATATATAGAGAAACTTGTGTCACAGGTCAAGTGAATATGGAAGCTGTGTCTTATGAGAGAAGCCACCAAGAAACGTCACTTGTGTTACGTGCCTTCGTGGAAGGTTTAGGAGTCAGAAACACAAATTATCCTTAAACCACTGGAGAAGGTGGTGCTGGTGCTGTAAGGGTGTGTGTGTGAGGTGTGTGTGTGTGTGTGTGTGTGTGTGTGTGTGTGTGTTTGTGTTGAGAGTGTACTTGGTGATTGGACAGAATATCTGTTTTCCACAAACCTTGTGCATCACCACACTTTAGACTTTTCTTGTCAGACTTTCATTTTTTTGTGTGTATAAAATTCATTAGATTATGAATCAGAGTTTAGTTTTAAGTCATTTATATGTTCTGCATTTTTTTCATTTGAATCTCTGCCCATTTTCAATGTTTTTGTCTCTGATCTTCACATTCACATTTTTCAACCCATCATATATTTATACATCCTCACCCATTTTTTAAAGACTTGATTTTTTTGAGTATTTTAGGTCACAGCAAAATTAAGAGAAAATTACAGAGCTGTCTCACATATTTTCCCTGCCCCTGTCTTGCCCCAGTCTTCCCTAGAGGGGTACCCTTGATACTTCAGTGAACTACACTCCCACGTCATACCAATGCCCAAGGTTAATTATGGATCTTATATAATCTGTGTTTGAACAAATTCATAATGACATAAACCTCCCATTATAGAATCATGTAGAATACTCTCATTTTCACAGTTGTTAGGATAATTTGGGCTCCAGATATAATTTTTATGGAGATATCAAAGGTATGTGAGCCCTTTTATTTAGAAAAAAAGTGAGTGTACTAAAACATGAACATGAAAGTAGGATGTTAAAATGTTGAGATAGTTTGCATATGTGCTTTGGATTACAAACTGTATTTGTGATCTGTTTCATATAATACGATATTGAAATTTTACTCTTTGTTCCAGGGCTGCCATAACAAACAGCCACAGACTCTGTGTTTCAAGCAGGAGAGATTTATTGCTCTCAGTTCTAGAGGCTGGAAGACCAAGTCAATGTGTCAGCAGGATTAGTTCTCCTGAGGCCTCTCTCCTTGCTGTGAGGTGACACTCCTCACTGAGTCATCACGTGGCCTTCCACTGATGATGTGCAAGTCTGTGCCCAAATGTACTCTTCTGCTAAGAACATCAGTCATTTTGAAGTGGAGACCACCTTCATTTACCTTAGTTACTTCTTTAATGACCCTGTCTTTAAATACCATCACATTCTGAGGGTCTTAGATTCAGGGCTTCAACATACAAATTTTGGGTGGGTCACAATTCAGTTCATAATAACTCTCCAAGCACCTGTTAAAGTCTTCCTGATCCAATCTTCTATGGAATTCTGGTGCACAAAATGATCAGACATAATTCTGGTGATGAGATGTCCCTGTCTTCTCCTAAGTGTGTTTCTAGAGGGACTAGGAACATACATTGATGAATAATTCTTAAAACATTCCAAATTATAAAATAATGGAAGTAGAGAGATCAATGATAAAAAATCGAAAGCTGTTATTTGGATAACAGGCTTCTTTCTCCTCTGCTCTCTCAAGGTATGAAATTTTCTCATTTTTAATTTCCTTCTTTTCTGTATTCTTGATATTTTGTTCCTGTCTTTTTTCCTTTCTTTCACAAATTTATTTTCTGTCTGAATGCTCTTTTTTTCCCTTTTTTTTTGACCTTAGTCTTTCTTTCACCCTGTGGGCACAGATTGAAACTCTCTAGGAGTTAATAACTTGGTTGAGTAACTTGCTATTCTCTGCACTCTTCCTCCACCTCCAGAATGGGCCTGCTCATGGGACATCTCTTTATTGGGTCTGGTGGGTTTAGCGGATATTGACTGGGGATGTGGCTTCAGTCCTTGCACAAAGAGGCACCAGGAAGAATTGCATTCTATACGTTCTTCTTTCTTTGTTGTTTGACTTTATGCTTTTCTCAAGCAGTATGTAGCAGGATTTTCAGTTTTGATTCAATCAGATAATCTCTTTTTATGCATGTTTTTATTATTGAAGGGTCTGGACTGAGTTGCTTGGTATACTCTTGGTTTTTCCTTTTGTTTTTAAAAGTCTGTTTTCTGTTCCATTGATGAATTTTTCATTAATCAATTTTTAATTTTTTAACATTTAAGAAAATGTAGAGACTATTCCTGTTCTTATGTCTTATGAAAACCACTCTCAAATTATACATAATGTATGTTATCATAAAAACACTATATTTTTTGCTTGCCCTATATTATTATTATTTTTCTTTCCACATATTCTGATATTCTACTGCATTTACTCCTTGTATATCCTATTTCTTTCCTAGCTCTTTTACTTTCTTTAGAATCATCTCAATGGCTGGTTAGTGGAAACTACAACACATTCTGTAGGTTCTATATGTAGGACAGTAATTTTAGAGTTTATCAAATGTGCTGAGAAGCTACAGCTCCAATACACAAATAAGAAAAGCAATAAAAACAAAAGCCATCCACATAATAATCAGCACATGGATTCACTGTGTTCCTCCTGTAAGCCATGGACTTCCCACTTCCCTGCTATTTTTTTACTTGCTGGTCACATGGACCTTCCTTTATATTCCTCCTTCTCTGAATATAGAAAAAATGGCCACATGTGTATAAAGAGGAATGCCTTGCATGGTTTACTGCCATATTATATTTCATAGTAAATAACCAACAACATCTTGAGTGTTCATCAAGAGAGGAAGGGCTGTACAAACTAGACAAGCCATGATGTGGTACAAGACAGCAGCAGAACTAATGAAATAAGACCTACAGGATTTATTATTGAGTTCATAAAGCAAGTACAGAAAGCTCTGCAAAGGATGTATCATTTTATACCAAGTAAAAAGCTATTAATGAAATACTACATGTTGTCTGTTGATTCACATATTTGGTATAAGATAGTAGATCTACAGTGAAACACCTGGGAGCTTCACCTGCAGATTGAAAGATTAAGGAAGAGTTGGGGTGATGAGTGATGAAAGGGCAGCATTTTAGGAGAAGCTAGAGGGGACTTTGATTGACATATAGTGCTTTATGATTTAAATAATTCCTATATTTATAAATTTTTCATTATGTTAAATCCAATAAAAGTAATCAAAACTATGATAAAGATTTATCCATATTCTCATTTATCCTTCTGATAACAAGGCAGAGGAGAGAGAAGAAAATGTCCAATTTCTTCAGAAGGATTTTTTCTGATGGTCCCTTGAACACGTCCTCTCTTGCCTCTGGGGTCATGGTTTCAGTGTTCATTCCTCTGGGTGTATTACACTTTGATTATATGGATTATATTACAGATATATGTATTTTCTCTTTTCCAATAGACTATAAACTAGTGTCTTCTCTCCTTTTAAATATTCTTTTTATTTACTCCCAGTAAATCGTGAATGACTGTTTATGGATTTATTTTCAGCTAAATTCAAGAAATCTAATAAATAGTGCAGGATAACTGCTAACTTATTTTAAAATGTTTTTTTAAAAATTTTTATTGGCTGGAGTTTGAACCCAGACACTTGTGCCATTTGTTCTACTACTGAGCTACTTCTTCACCTGTGAACGTGGCTAATTTTTATTCCTACAGACTCTAGACATTTTGTTTTCTGACCATCTGCATTTTCTGCTCCAAGAAACTTGTAGTGACTGCTGAGGACTTAGTTGGTCTTAAGTTGAGTATTTTGATGGAATCAGTCCACCAGGGGGCACTCCAGGCTGCAGAAGGAAGGATTTCAGAGGATTCCCAGAGGGTGAATAGTTAGAGACCAGAGGGTGTGAGCCAGTCACATCACAGACAAAAAGGGAGCAGCCTGTTCATCTCAGGTCTTAGCCCTGCTGTTCTACATAAAATCTCAGAAGGCTGAAGACCGTATCTATACTTATTTGATCCTTATTTGTAAACTCATTGGGAGTATCATTATCTGAACACAGGTCAGGGAATTAAAATTTTACTTGTCATATGAGGATGGAGAAAATATCTTCAGTACCTGGTTTCAATTCTTTTCTTTATTACAGAAATTCTTAAAATATACTGATGTAAATTATTGTAATACTCTTGATAGCCAATCATGCTAGGCCAGCACTCTACAGCTGAGCCACAACTCCAGCCCTAGCCCATCTTTTTATATTGTCTCTCTGAGACTAGAAGGAGCAAGAATAAATGGGTAAGAAGAAAAAATGAAAATGAAGAACAAAGGTAGAAGGAGAAAAGGAGAGGCCAATATTGACTTGGGCAACAATGTGTGCCCTTCAGAGTGTCAGGGAAAGTGTTGGGCAACAGAAAGGGTGAGGTAAAGAATAAAACAGGGTGGACATCATATGAATGTCCTCTCTTCTTTTAAATCGATGAAACTCTTGTTGGAAATGTTTTCAATGTAGCCCAAGATCTTCATTTCATGAAACGGTTCTTATTTCTTAATGCATGCTATCAAATAGTTTCCTTGACCAGAATTCTCATATTATTGATTTCTCAAATTCCCTGTTAATCACACTATATATGAGAAAAGGGCTTATTCTTCCAGTGATTCTTTAAGGCCCACCTAATCCAGTTATGTAATTAACACATAGGTTGTTCCCAAAAGTGTCATCATCCTCCTTACATATATTCCCACAAACTTCTCTTACTTTATCTGTTATAAGAAAAAAAATCACTTTTATCTTCATCCATGGGAAACAAGGCCCCCAACACCTACACTGTCCTCACATAATTCTGCAGCCACAATTGCTCTCTCCCTGGGCCACTGGGGGTGGAGCTCCCTGTTAGGGGCAGGACAGAGCTCAGATGTGACTGGTGCTCAGGGAGTCAGGTGGAACCTGTTGCCTGGGAGAACAAGCTTGTCTGGCCCAAGACCTGACACCTGCAGAGCAGGGAGAAGAGCCAGCAGCCAGGCCAGCAGCCATGCAGAGGGGACTGGGGGCTCTGCTGGGGCTTCTGTGGGTGAAGCTTTGCTGTGAGTGGGGTTCCTCCCAGATGGGGCAGGGAGTGTTTTAGAGCTGACAGTGTGCGGGAGGGCAGGGAGAGCTGTCACAAAGCCCTGTCCCTGTGCTCCATCCTCAGGGTGTTTCCTGGGATGTTCTGCAGGTTTGTGAACTGGTCATGGATTCCGCAGTGACACCAGCTATGTTTGCTTTTCTCTTTCCAAGCAGGGGTGAGAGGGCAGCAGGTGGAGCAGAGTCCTTCAGCCCTGAGGCTCCAGGAGGGAACCAGCCCTACTCTGAGGTGCAATTTTTCCACCACCATGAACAGAGTGCAGTGGTTCCTACAGAATCCTGGGGGTGGCCTCATCAATCTGTTTTACTTGGCTTCAGGGACAAAGCAGGAGGGAACGTTAAAGGTAACAGCGGATGCTAAGGAGCACTACAGCACCCTGCACATCTCCACCTCCCAGCTGGAAGACTCAGGCACCTACCTCTGTGCAGTTGAGGCACAGTGCTCCCAGGGGACCTGCAGCTTGTTCCCAAACTGCATCTGCAGCCACAGCCTCTGCCTCTGGGAGGACTTGCAAGGCACTGTCTGCACAGCTGTGGGTGTCCTGATTCACATTGTAGCACTGTCACCTCTGCTAACACGAGATTTCTCAGCACTGTCTTCCCACTTTGTTTGGACCCTTTTCCTTCTAGAAACCCTTTGCTGGAAAAATTTCTAATAAGTAACCATTGTAGCAACTGATAAGGGTGTCAGGGCCCAAAGTACTGTTAAAACAGATCCCCTGGCAGAGCTTATTAATGACATCTAAATCACTGTGATGAAAAATGCTTGAAAAAGTGTATGTGTGTCAAATATAGAATAGATGTCCCAGTTGATTGCAGGTTGTTCAATATCCAACATAAGGATAATATGTTAGTTATCTTGTACATATTTAATGTTTGTATTCAGATTTTTTTCACACCTGGAAACTTTGAAAAATATAATGAAAAATTCCTTCTTGTTTTTGAGTGTCAGAATTATACAGCAAAAGTGGCTTGCTTGAACTCACATGGTTAAAATCTAGTGAGCTTGGGTGGGATTCCCACTTAGGAAATCTAATATTAGAATTTTTGCTCTGAGCTAGCCAGTGCAGAAGACTCCCAAATGCAAAATCAGTCTATGTTTATATCTCTACAACACATTCACATATATCACTGATGAAAATATCCATTTAATTATTTCAAAATGGTGCCCTTCAAAACTTTAATTTTGTTACATGGGAATCCAGTGCACTTCCTTGCATTTTAATTAATATATTACCCATAATTTTCTAATATTATTTTTGGTTTGGGAAAGGGAGCAGAAATCTTCCAGTGTTGTCCCAAAAGAAATCTTTGTGTTCTGTAGCCACCTACCAAGACTTCTCACAACCAACCCCAAAGTTTAAACCTGCATGTGGATTAATTGCGATGTAAATTGATTCTCAGCATGGCAAGTTCTTTGTGTTAATGTAAGGGATTATCTAAGAAGGAGGGAGACCATGAGATTAAGATGAGGACACCTGGGCAACCCCAGTGAAGCTGGGAGAAGGACTGACTTCCTAGGAATGTGACCTATACAGCTTCATGGGGGGCCTGACAGTCAGAATGGGTCTGGAGCAGCCTATGAGCTGAGTTATTGGTCTAGCCTATTCCAAGACCAGGTACATAGTAGGTCCATCATGTTTTATTCTCTACCTCACCCTTTCTGATGTCTGTATGTGGCAATGAATGTTAGTAAATTTTTAGAAAATGAATGACTATGCATGGATATTGCAATAAAGCATTTTGAAGTGATTAGAATCCTTTGAAAAGCTTATAGATTTGGTTTTGAAAATTGACGCCACATAGCAGAAGTATTATGTACAGACACAGAAATAGGAATGCCTATTGTTATATTTTCATGGTTAAGTAATCTTTTACTTGATGGTGTATTAGATGGTCATTAACATAGTACATATGAAGTCTACATAAAAGCAAAGACAATATTATTACCAAGTATTGAATTAAAGCTGAAAACATTAGATTAAAACATATCACATGATAGCTAAACTCTGGAAGCAACCTATATACCCTTCAATAGATGAATGGATAAAGAAACTGTAGATATATGCACAATGGAATATTACTCAGCATTAAAAGAGAATAAAATTATGGCATGTGCAGGTAAATGAACGGAGCTGGAGAATATCGTGCTAAGTGAAGTAAGCCAATCCCCCCAAACCAAAGGCTGAACGTTCTCTCTGATAAGTGGATGCTGATCCATAACAGGGAGCGAGGGGGCATAGGAAAAATGGAGGGACTTTGAAGTAGAGGGAGGGGAGGGAAGGTGCATGGGAGCATGAAAAATGGTGGAATGAGATGGACATCATTATCCTAGGTACATGTATGACTGCACATATGGTGTGACACTACATTGTGTACAACTATAGAAATATAAAGTTTTGCTGCAGTTGTGTACAATGAATCAAAATGCATTCTAGTATCATATATACCTAATTAAAATAAATAAATTAATTAAAAAATACACAATTGTCATTTTTATAGAAAAATGGCCGTGTATTGAAAGCTTCATATGTTTCAATCACATAGGTCTATCATGGATATACTCGGTAAAAATAAGACCTTCCTGTGAAGAGGTCTTTCAGGAAACGTGAAGAAAAAAGCAATTAATGGAGTGGTAATATTAAGAAATAACTTTTCAGTATCTCTTTCTTCATGTGGTTGTACTATTATTTGTATAGTGTAATTTAATTTAACTTTTAATTTTTAATGGTAAATTTATTTTTATTTTTATTTCAATTTTTATTAGTGCATTATAATTATACATAAATGGTGGATTTATTGTTACATATTCATTCATGCTCACAATATAACAATATAATTTGGCCAATATTATTCCCTAATATTTTCACTTTGCCTCTCCTCCTCCCTCCCTCTGGTCCCTTTCTTCTACTAATGTTAATTCTATTTTCATATGACCCCACCCCAACTTTTCTTTTTCTTTTTATATGTAGCTTCCACATATGAGAGAAAACATATGATCCTTGACTTTCTGAGTTTGGCTTATTTCACCTAACTTTTCATTTTCAACTTCTATCAGTTTTCTTGCAAATGACATAATTTCATTCTCCTTTATGACTGAATGAAACTTCATTGCTTATCCAAACCTTTTTTAAAATTTATTCATCCACCAATGATCACCTAGGTGTTTCCATAGTTTGGCTATTTGAATTGTGCTGCTATAAACATGAGCATGCATGTATTGTTAAGGTGAGATGGCTTTAATTCTTTAGAATAAATGCCCAGGATTGGTAGAGCTGGGTCATATGTTGGTTTCATCCTTAATCTTTTGTGGAATCTCCATACTGGTTTCTAAGTTGGTTGTACTAATTTGTATTCCCACTGACAGTGTCCAAGTGTTCCTTTTTCTCTACATCCTCTCCAACATTTATTATTGTTTGTATTCTTGATGTTAGCCATTCTGTTCTAATTGGAGTGAGATGAATTCTTGGTGTAGTTTCGACTTGCATTTTCCTTATTGTTAGGGATGTGGAACATTTTTTTCTTGTATTTTGTTAACTTGTCCATTTACTAATAGGGTTGTTTATTTTTAGTGTTAAGTTTTTGAGTTCTTCATATATTTTGAATATTAAACCTTTGTCAGAAGAGTTACCAGCAAAGATATCTTTCCCATTCTATAAGTTTTTTCTTCCATTCTTAATTGGTTCCTTTGCTGTACAAATGTTTTTTAAATTGGTGTCATCCCATTTATTAATTCTTGGTACTATTCTCTGAGCTTTAGGAATCCTGTTGTGAAAGTCATTGCCTGAACTTTTATGTTGAAGTGTAGATGCTTTGTATTCTAGGAGTTATATATTTTCTGGTTTAATTCCTGGTTTGAGCCATTTTGAGGATTTTTTTTCCTCTTTGCAGGGAGATAGAGAGTGATCTAGTCTCACTCCTCTACATAGAGAGATCCTCTTTTCCCAGCACCATTTGTTCAAAAGGCTACCTTTTCTGTATCTTGCAGCCTTTTCATTGGTACATGTGTTTGTTTTTATGCCAGTACCATGCAGTTGTTGTTACTGTAACTCTTTATAGCTATGCAGTATAATTTGAAGTCAGATATTGTGATGCTTCCAGTATTGCTCCCCTCACCTCCACCCCCTGCTCTAGAAATGCTTTGGCGATTGTGGATCTCTTTCTGCCTATCCATGAACATGGGAGTTCTTTCCATCTTCTAGTGTCTTGTTCAATTTCTTTCTTCAGAGTTCTATAGTTTTCTTTCTATTGTTTCTTTCCTTTCCAGTCTTTTCTACTTCCCCTTTTATTCTCTTTCTCTCCTCCACTGTTCTCCTTCTAGTGTATGGAATCCTATTCTTTCTTAGTTCCTTAGTTCACTCTAGCTTCTGTATATAAGACATTGACTTTACCATTCTAGCTTATTTTACTTAGCATGATGTTCTCCAGTTTCATCCATTTATAGTCAAATAACATAATTTCACTCTTCTCTATGGTTGATTAAAACTTCATTATTTATATATACCACATTTTCTTTATTCATTCACCTGTTGCTGGGCACATGGCTGGTTCCATATCTTGGCTATTGTGAATTGTCCTACTTTAAACATTAATATGCATGCATCACTGTACTATGCTGATTTTAGTTTGCTTACTTTTTAAAATAAATACTAAATAGTTGGATAGCTAGTTTGTATGGTAGAGTCATTCCTTGTTTTTTGATTGTTCTGAGTTGCAGTTCCATCAACAATGTATGCATGTGTACAGCCAATTTGGAAAGCAGTATGGAGATTTCTTGGAAAGCTGGGAATGGAACCACCATTTGACCCAGATATTTCCCTTCTCAGTCTATTCCCTAAAGACCTAAAAAGAGCATACTACAGGGACACTGCTACATGGATGTTCATAGCAGCACAATTCACAATAGCAAGACTGTGGAACCAACCTAGATGCCCTTCAATAGATGAATGGATATAAAAAAAAGTGGCATTTATACACAATGGAGTATTACTCTGCATTAAAAAATGACAAAATCATGGAATTTGCAGGGAAATGGATGACATTAAAGCAGATTATTCTAAGTGAAGCTAGCCAATCCCTAAAAAACATATACCAAATGTCTTCTTTGATATAAAGAGAATAACTGAGAACAGAGTAGGGAGGAAGAGCATGAAAAGCAGAGTAACATTAAACAGGGATGAGAGGTGGGAGGGAAAGGGAGAGTTAAGGGCAATTGCATGGAAATGGAAGGAGACCCTCATGGTTATACAAAAATACATACAAGAGGAAGTGAGGGAAAAGGGAAAAAAACAAGGGGGAGAAATGAATTATAGTAGAAGAGGTAGAGAGAAAAGATGGGAGGGAAGGGGAGGGGGATAGTAGAGGATAGGAAAGGTATCAGAATACAACAGACACTAGTATGGCAATATGTAAATCAGTGGATGTGTAACCGATATGATTCTGCAATCTGTATATGGGGTAAAAATGGGAGTTCATAACCCACTTGAATCAAAGTGTGAAATATGATATGTCAAGAACTATGTAATGTTTTGAACAACCAACAATAAAAATTAAAAAAACAATATATGCATGTACATTTCCCTCCATATCCTCAGCAGCATCTATTATTTGTTTTTTGATGATTGCCATTCTAACTGGAGTGAGATATATCTCAGTGTGGTTTTGATTGGACTTTGTTGATTGCTAAATATGTTGAATATTTTTAAATTTATTTATCAGTCATTTGTATTTTCACTTTTGAGAAATGTCTTTTTAATTCATTTGTTCATTTATTGATTGGGTTATTTATGTTTTTAAAAATATTCTCCCATTCTGCATGCTCTTTCTTCATGTTCTTACTTGTTTCCTTTGTTGTGCAGAGTTTTTAAATGTCATGCCATCCTGCTTATTGATTTCTGGTTTTATTTCTTGAACATTAGGGATTTTGTTAAGAAAGTTGGTGCCTGTACCAATAAGTGGGTTTGTTTGTTTGTTTGTTTTCTAACAACCATATATTTTCTGTTCTTATGCATGTGTCTTTAGCTTGCTTTGTGTTGATTTTTGTAAGGAATGATAAATAAAGGTCTAGTATCATTCCTATACATATGGATAACTAGTTTCCCAGCACCATTTGTTTAAAAGACAATCTTCAATCTAATTTATGCTTTTGGCACCTTAGCCAAATATCAGATGACTGTATAGATGTGCATTTGTCTCTGTCATCTCTACTCTTCCATTGGTGTTCTGTCCTTTTCTCCCATTCAAAATGATTTTTGAACTTTGGTTTTTCATATACAACCTTAATAATCTTGAGGCAATTTCCTTCTAGCCCTCATTTCCTCAATTTTTTTTTTAACATGAAGGGGTGCTGGATTTTGTTGAAAGATTTTCCTGCATCTATTGAGATGATCATGTGATTTTTGTCCTTGATTCTATTTATGTCAAGAATTGCATTTATTACTTTGTATATGTTGAAGTGACATTGCATGACTAGAATGAAATCCACTACAGCATGGTGTGCCATTTTCTTAATATGTTTTTGAATGTGAATTTCTTAATATTTCATTAAGGATTTATCACCTATGTTCATCAGGGTTATTGGTTTGTATTTTTTTTTTTACTCTTGATATTCTTTTCTTTGTTTTGTATCAAGCCAATACTAGCTTAACAGAATGAATTTGGGAGTGTTCCCTCCATTTTCTATTTCATGGAATAATTTGAGGAAGATTAGCATTTTTTCCTCTTTTAGTGTCTGATGAATCTAAGCTGAAAATTGATTTGGTCCTGGGATTTTCTTCATTGGAAGGCTTTTAATTGCTGCTTCAATATCAATATTTGATATTGATCTGATTTGGTTTTTCAATTTGGGTAGATTGTATGTGTCTGGAAATTTGTTAATATCTTCCAGTTTATTGTTGTACCTATTTTCAAAATAGTTCTTAATGATTCTCTAGATTTCAGAGATATCTGTTGTGATATTTCTTTGTCATTTCTAATTTTGTTAATTTGGGGCTTTCTCTCTCTTAAGACTGCTTTGGCTAAGGATTAATCATTCTTGTTTTTTCAAAGAAGCAATTCTTTATTGCATCAATCCTTTATATTTTTATTCTCAATTTTATTAATTTATTAATATCTCAATATTATTAATTTCTTGTTATTCTACTAGCAAATCAGCCCACCACTCACTGATTGATATTGGAGTTAGACAAGTGACAGGCCATCCTCAACACCCAGGTAATCTTTTAACACCTTTCCTAAAAGTCATGGTGTATATCCATTATCTCAAGTGGCCATCCCTTGAAAGAAGGATAGCAACATCATCAGCATCACTCAACATTGTCAGCAAAAATGAGATTGAAATTGAGACACCAAGGACAACATTGTACTGCTGCAGTTGACAGTCCCTGAGGTGGTAGAAAATTTTCTTCTGGATGCCACAACTCAAAAAAGGCAACACTGACCTGAAATATCTGTATCCAAGCATGGGGAACTTTTTCAAATAAAGGATATGAGAATTCTATAATATGCGGAATGGGTGAGAGTATAGAAGAAACTTAGAATGGAGAAATGTTATACATGTGAAAACATTATTTTATATATACACACATATGTATTTATATATTGAGCTGAAGTTTGTCATCACAAGTGTTCTTAAGTGTTTAATGGCATAAAATGTATATGTGGACTTAGATTTACTCTGGATGACTCCAGGGGTGTCGTGAGGACAAATCAGTGGAAAGGGGCCTTGACTCTGGAAATAAGATCAATGGCCAGAAGCCATTGCTCGAAGTTAGTTTTTGAGGTTCTGTTTCCTATTTGTATTATCTTCATATATTACATAGGCAATAGGTAGGCTTCTCTAGATTTTTGTCTTACAGAATTTCAGGAAACCTTAAGAAATTAAAGTAGAAAAGAGTGGGTAGCTTTTGTTTTGTTTTTGAAAATGGAAATAATCCTGGTAATGTACAGAGCTGAAGAACTTTATCGAAGTTTTGGGGAAAGAATTTTGTTCTGGAAATCCTAGTGGAAAATCGATTATCAAGGCAGTAGAAATCCATTCCAGGAGGAGTGGCTCATGAATTAAGAGGAAAAACCAGGTAACATATAAGACAGTCATTGCAACCATGGATAATAGCCCATTTTGATAGCAGAAAATAAAGTCACATCAAGAATAAACTTACATGTGATTACATATTTTGAATCTGAAGTCTGATCTTTTTTGAGAATCTCTTTTCTTTTTCTCATTTAAAGAACAGAAGCTATCAGAAATAGGAAGAGGTTTCTTAAAGGTTGTCAAAGTTCTCTTTGAAATTCAATCCAATCTGTCAAACTTTCTGAAGTTAGAGTATTAATTAATCAAGAGTTTATCCCCATAATCATTACCATTAATATTTGATCTTTATTTTTCATCCTAGGCACCTGTTTTAGAGAGATTTTTTATTGCTGTGACTAAAAGACCGGAGAAGAACAATTGTAGAGGAAGAAAAGTTTATTTCAGGTCTCATGCTTTCAGAGGCCTGAATCTATAGACAGCTGGCTTCATTCCTTAGGGCTTGAGATGAGGCAGCATATCATGGTGGAAGAGTGTGACAGAGTCAAAACTCACATGATCATCAGGAAGCCCAGAGAGAATCCATTTGCCATATACAATATGTATAACCCCAATGACCCACCTCCCCAGACACATTGTAACTGGCCTTCACTTACCACTCAGTCATTCCCATCGGGGAATTAATTAACTGATGGGTTAAGGCATTCACAACCCAATTATTTGTTCTTTAAGCCATCATGCATTGTCACATATGAGCTTTTTTTTTAGCACATCATACAAAAAATAACACATCTTTACTGAGGGAAGATGCCACAGTGTGATTTGGTACTGCCCATTCTCTAGGAATGGTAAGTTATGGGAAGGACCAAACTTGGAGGAGCAGAGTCTGAGATGATGTGCATTTCAAATATTCACTTGTCCTCTCTGTCTTACTCTTATCTTGGCCTTATAAGTAACTTCAATGAAGAGTTTAATCTCTGTCGTGAACAAATAATGAAGTTATAATTGGCTGAAAGGGAAAGTATTAAATGTTCTTTTGTTTATGAGAGTAAATCATAGTGCTTCCTGGATTTCAAATATGTCAAGTCTGCCCATAATTATATCAACACTAACAGCATCTACAGCTTTCCAGTTTATTAACAATGGCTCAATAGTATTCATTAACACTAACATTTATCTCTAATACTTTCTGTAAATATAATTTTTGAACCAAGACCTACTCTGACCCATTTTTACTTTCATATGTCTTTCTTCATCCCTGATAGGTTAAAAGACCATTTAACTAGTTCAATATTTAGGGATATGACCACGAGGTGGCAGTCTACCCCAACTGGTGCATAATAGGTGGAAGATTTATTGCAGTGGATTCTGAATGAATAGTTTTTTTCTTATAGGCTGGATAGACAATAAAGAGAAGCCAATATAGTTGTTACTGTGAAAAAGGAACATCGTGATAACAGAAGGAGCTCTCCTGAGTAGATTTCAAGTCTGGATTGATTTAATTGTGAACAATGAAGATATTTAATCCTGCTTTATTCATGTACTTGTGGCTGCAGCTGGATGGTGAGTTGAAGATTTTGGGGAAACAGAGTATGTTAGCAGATGTTCTTTAGACATCTGGGAAGAAAACTGGCTTTATGGAGGCTTTCCCTAGTCACTGAAGAATAGGAAAACTCTGAAGAGTAATCACATACAAACATTATCTTTTTTTTTTTCATTTTCTTTCTGCATAGAGTTTAGCCAAGGAGAGAAAGTGGATCAGCATCCTTCTACCCTGAGTGTCCAGGATGGAGACAGCGCTGTTATCAACTGCTCTTACTCAGAGAGTACTTGGGACTATTTCTCTTGGTATAAACAAGAAACTGGAAAAGGTCTCCAGCGTATTATAGACATTCGTTCAAATAAGGAGATAAGTCAAATCCAAAGATTCATTGTTGTGTTGGATAAGAAAGCCAAACACTTCTTCCTGAACATCACAGCCACCCAGCCTGGAGACTCAGCTGTCTACTTCTGTGCAGCCAGTGCACAATGCTTCCCAGACACCTGCAGCCTGTACTCAAACCTGCCACTGGGCAGAGCTTCATCTGCTTCCTTTGTCGCAGTTTTCCCATAGCATTTGCCTCAATGCAAATGAAAACTAGCATATTAACATTAAATACATATAGTAAACAGGTTGGGTTCATTATGACCCAGTTGCTTAATAATTTTGGTTAACAATTTTTTTCCAACTTTTTTGTGTGTATTTAAGGGTACAGCTTGATATTTTGATATAAATAAACAGTGAAAATTGGACAGATGGATCGGAATGCATAGAGAAGTCAGGGGAGAAGGAACCCCAACTTTAGGTATCTCCACGTGATCAGCAATCCTAAAGCTATGCTTAATGGATTCTTCAGGGGAATTAGAACTGTTTTGCCTTGAAATCCAGAGATGGAAGATGAGTTTACACCTGCTGTTCAGACTCCTCTCATATAAATAACCCCTTGAGATCTTTATCATAATCCCTGTTATCTGTGGGCTCTTGATTATTTAGATATTGCATTAATTATTTTTCTGATTAGCAAGCAATACATACCAAAGGCAGAAAATATGTTTGTTTCACAAATGGAAAATTGATAGGGTTTTATCCAGATAATCCCAATATTTAGTCAGAGAATACAGAGAAGTACACATATAGGACAAAGAAGTCTAGATATCTGTTATACAATATGAGGTGTATAGCTAATTATACTGTATTAGGGATTTCTGCCAAATGAATAAATTTTAGTAATTTTTTTCAAACACATAAAAATTTACTCTGAAAGAGAATAGATATGTAATTTTCTTCACTATATAATTAATTTATTATCTATATTCATCCTGACATATCCTGTTAGAAACCCCAATTACACAGAACATAATTTGATTTGAAGGATCCTATTTATTTCCATTTACCTATGCCTTTCTTTCTTGAAATATAAATATAAAACTCCATTTTATATTTACTCTTCAACATTTAAATTTATTGCTCCTTTGCTTTTATTTCTAGTGTGTGTAAAAAAAAATCTTAGTATGTATTTTCCCACTGCTTTACTCAACTCTTACTAGTGGGTTACAAAAGGAATTTGGTTAATGATTTCAGATGGCTCACTACAAAACTCTCTGTCTTCATGTCCAGTCTGAATCAATTTTTATTATCACAAGTTTCTTTTAAATTATATCTTCTAGTGATGTTGATGCATCAATGAATGTGAAGAAACTGTATAAATAAGAAATTCCCTAATTCTCTGACTTCTGGTCAAAGTTAAGTGCATTTTAAGAGTTCTTATATTAATGAATACAATGAGCCTTTGGTGTTGTGAGGAGGATCCCTCTTGGCTGAGTTAAGGGTGCTGGTTATCAGCTAATGGCTTGTTCTTATAGTCTTTAGAATAAATTAGATTTAAAAATCTGATCAGGAGTGGCTAACATTGTGACCCCTCCTTCAACTGGCTGTCCTTCTTTTCCTCAATATTATCACTAGCTCCTCTCCTGGAAAAGGACATGGACTCCTTATTAGTCGACTTCCCCCAAGACTGGTAATGGAGTGAGAGGGAAGTGTGGCTTACATTTTATCACTGAGTTTCATGGTATAAGACAGAGGGTATGTTACTATTCACCTAAAATATTTATCTTACTAAGATGACAATTTATCTAAAAGAATGAACACACATAAATACCTACACACACACACACACACACACCCACCCACCACACACACACACACACACCAAAACAAAACCCTCCAGCACTGTGTGCAAGGTCAATATCTCAGATCCAGACAGGTTCAAGCTTTGGACCCACACTATAGTTGGTGTGTGTTTTCCTTTTGCTTCTGTAACAAACTTGGTGGTTTTTTGCAAGAGAATTGTATTTTCTCTGTCATGGTTCTGGAGGCCTGAAGTTGAAATCAGTTTCTCTGGGCTGTACCCACCCAGAGGCTGTAGGGAGAATCTGCTCCTGGCCCCTCCCAGCTCTGATGGCTGCCAGCATTTCTGGGCTTGTGGCTGCCTCCTCCACTCTCTGCCTCCATAGTCACCCTGGATTCTCTCTCCCCTTTTCAAGTGTCCTTCTCAGAAGTGTATATGAGATTACTTTCAAATTTCATATAATCCAGGTAATTCTCTAAAATCTCAGGATCGTTAATTTAATCATATCTGCATATAAATTAAATAAATCATTTCTATTGCCTCAATAAAGCCTTACCAAAAAGTTATTTTTTGGTATAGGAACAAAGGAAGAAAAATTAGAAATATATAACATTCTACTATTAAGGTGAGATAATACTATTTAGAATATAAAAATAAAGGATAGGACAGGAGATATCACAAATAGTGGTTCCAATCAGCCAGAGAATTCTGTTGTGACAGTCTTGGAGGCACTGTCTACATCGTGCCAGGGCTTAAGGATCTGGGTCAGTGTGTATTAAGGATCTGGGTCAGTGCTCATCTTCTGAAGATTGTCTGTTTATGGACAATTTCTGCAGAAGTTTAGTGAAGATCTTTAATGTGAGTTACTTTTTGATTCTTGTCATTTTAAGATGAATGATGTCACATAGTTGTTAAATGCAATTAAGATCAGCTCCTTGTACTTTATCTGCTGAACTGGTAGTAAATATTACTTGGCTCCTTTCTTTAAGTTTCAGAATACCACATCACCTAGATTTAGGCCATATAGAGGCTGATTAAATGAGAGGCCAGGAAAAGCAACCTGTTGGCATGTTGATAAGAGGCTTTATTCATGATTTTTTTATATAGTTCATTTTGAAAAAGAATAGAATCTGTATAATTTGGGAATTATATGTACTTACTGGTGACTGTTTCATAGCAAGCCAACATATGAGTTTGTGTGAGGGGGAAAAGCAGGGCCATGAGACCTGTAGGAGTAGCGATGCATTATATAGGTAGCCTGTTTCCTGTTCTGGTGCAGCAGCAGCTCAGAGCATGTAGTTCCTCCCTCCCCCTGTCAGGCTCCCCTCCCAGTGCAGACCCTGGAGTCAAAGAAGACTTTCTTCTGAAGGAAGAAGGCAAACATGGTGCTGCCCAGGCTGCTGAAGCTGCTCATGGCATCAATGTGGCTGGGTAGGGACGGTTCCTAGAGGAAGTGACCACCTCTGTGACCTAGGGACTGGGGGATAGGGTAGCCTTAAAAGGACTTGGGGAGGGTTAGTGTTGTATAAATGTGTACTGTTTTTGTCTCACACCACTTGTTTCTCAACTTTCTGGTTCTGTCCTTTTCCCTTCAGGATCCAGTTTTGCCCAGAAGGTGACTCAGGCCCAGCCAGCCATGTGGGTGCAGGAGAAGGAGGCTGTGAGCCTGCTCTGCTCCTATGACACCAGTGAGACACGTTATGATCTCCTCTGGTACAAGCAGCCCAGCAGTGGGGAGATGGTCTTCCTCATCCTTCAGAACTCTTACAGCCAGAAAAATGCCACAGAAGGTCACTACTAAGTGATTTTGCAGAAGGCAAGCAAATCCATCCAGCTTGTCATCTCAGCCTCACAGCTGGGGGACTCAGGGGTGTATTTCTGTGCACTGAGAGAGGGCACAGTGGGAGGACTGTTGGAGGGAGGTGCACAAAAACCCAGGGTCTGCCTGAGACAGCCACCTGCTGGAGGGACCAAGGCAGGAAGTGGCAGGGCTGTGTTAGCTCATGTCTGGGGTTAGAGGGAAACACTCACTCTAAGGAAACCCTTTCTAGGTTCATAGATCACATCACTCTTATCACTAATCAAAGCCAGCTATATTGGTGAAACTTTGGATTGAATGTAGACACATAATTTTTGACAGAAGATTAAAAAGGAAGAATAAGCACAATAAGCAATTTGTCATTTGGATATAAAATTTGACTCAAATAATTGGCTAAAGTGGTTCAGAAACATATGGCTGAAGAGTAGTAAAAATCTGTATGAGCTGTTGGATTTTCGGAACCAAATTTCTATTAAGTATTTATTGAATAGAGATTATGTTTCTAGTGTATTTTAAAATAAGGAATGCCTTGAAATCTCTGTGTGGTGTGTATATGTGTGTGCATTTTTAAGAAAAATCATGCTGTTTCATACGATTTAATGAATTTGTTTTAGGTTTGCTTTCCTTGAGTGAAAGACACTCATATTTACTTTCTAAATGTGTCTTCTATACTACAGACTTTGTGCTAAGTGTTCCTTCCATCTTCTCAATAACTCTACCATGGAAGAGCTCTATTTGCATATTAAAAGTCTACTGTGTCTAACCCTTCACATTCATAAAAGCACAGTAACTAGTGACTCTTACAGAGGTATGTGGAGGATCCACCCCAGAGATGGAGATGGAAACCTCTTTACAGGTATATAAGGGATCATTTTCTCCTAAGATAGTCACAATCCTTTAAAAATATTAAATTTCCACTTTCACTCTAGTATGTTCCAGCTTGCTTTTTCTGTTTTATTATTCTATTTGTTTCATTCTATGACAATATCATAAAATAATAAATTTTATTACATGTTAAGATAAATCACTTTTAGCTAGTAATGTTTATGAAATTTTTAGTAATTATTGCAGGCATTTTTCAATATGAATGTTAAAATATGCCCCAATTTCTTCATATACAATAACTTTCCACTAAACTAAATGAAAAAATCATAAAAAAACCAAAGAATATTTCAAAACAAGAAAGTCAGAGTTACATTTACTGACACACAAAATATAATTTTATTATCTTTTTATTCAAGAAAGAGCTAAGTTTTTCAATTATGAAAGGCCTTCTATGTTCTTCAACTATGTTTTGAAGTTTCTTATATTTTTATTTTCTTTCTTTTTTTTTTTGCAAGGGCAAACTTCACTTTTTAAAAAATTTGTTTTAATTAGTTACACATGACAGTACAATGAACTTGACATAACATACATTTGAAAAACTTCACTTTTAATTTAATTCTCTCTCCCTTTTTTCTGCTCCACTCCTTTCTCCTTTGGAATTAGTACTCTCAAACTTTCTCCCCTTTTATTTTTATTTATTTATTTATTTATTTTTGATGTTTTTAGGTATACATGACAGTAGGGCATACCTTGACATACTATACATACTCATTATAATTTTGATCCCATTCTTGCAGTTGAACATAATCTGGAGTTACACTGGTTGTGCATTCATATGAGCATAAGAAAGTTATAGATGACTCCACTGTGTTCCCTATTCCCTCCCCTCTCCCTTTCCTTTTTCTCCTTTGTCCGATCCAATAAACTTCTATACTTCTCCTCATAACAAGGTATACCCTGCCTTGTTATGGAGTAGCATACATCCCTCAGAGAGAACATATCGGCTTTGTTTTTTTGGGATTGGCTTATTTCACTTAGCACAAGAGTCTCCAGTTCCATCCATTTACTGGCAAGTGCCATAATTTTATTATTCGCTCAAACTGAGTAAAATTATATTGTGTATATATAATAATTTTCTCTATCCATTTATCTTGTTGAAGGACACCTAGGTTGGTTCCATAGCTTGGCTACTGTAAATTGAGCTGCTATAAATTTCAATGTGGCTATGTCACTGTGGTATGCTTATATTAAATCCTTTGGGTATAAACCAAGGAGTGGAATAACTGGGTTAAATGGCGGTTCCATTCCAAGTTTTCTAAGGAATCTCTATACTGTCCTCCAGAGTGGTTGTACCAGTTTGCAGTCCCACCCCAGCAATGTATGAGTGTGCCGTTTCCCCCACATCCTCACCAACATTTATTGTTACTTGTATTCTTGATGATAGCCATTCTGACTGGAGTGAGATGGAATCACAGCATAGTGTTCTTTTTTTAACTCTTTTTTTTTGGGGGGGGGACACAATTCATTCTTTCCTTCCTTCCTTCCTTCCTTCCTTCCTTCCTTCCTTCCTTCCTTCCTTCCTTCCTTCCTTCCTTCCTCTTTCCTTCCTTTTTGTGGTACTGAGGACTGAACATGTGCAAGGCAAGCATTCTATCACTGAGCTACAATCCCACCCCCACAGTGTAGTTTTAATTTGCATTTCTCTAATTGCTAGAGATGTTGAGCATTTTTTCATATATTTTGTGACCACTCACATTTCTTCTTCTGTGCAGTGCCTGTTCAGTTCCTTAGCCCATTTATTTATTGGGTTATTTATTTTTCTTGTGTTAAGTTTTTAAGTACTTTATATATCCTAGAGATTAGTGCTTTATCAGAGGTGCGCGTAGTAAAAATTTCCTCCCAATCTGTAGGCTCTCTCCTTACATTATTGTTTGTTTCCTTTGCTGAGAAGAAGCTTTTTAATTTGAATTCATCCCATTTATTGATTCTTGATTTTACTTCTTGTGCTTTAGGGGTCTTTTTAAGGAAGCCAAATCCTAGGCTGACATGGGGAAGATTTGGGCCTTTTTTTCTTCTGTTAGGTGCAGGGTCTCTGTTCTAGTGCCTACATCTTTGATTCACTTTGAGTTGAGTTTTGTGCAGGGTAAGAGAAAGAGGTAAAATTTCATTTTGCTATATGTGGATTTTCAGTTTTGCCAGTAGCATTTGTTGAATAAGTTATCTTTTCTCCAGTGAATGCTCTTGACATCTTTGTCTAGTATAAGATAACTGTATTTTTGTGAATTTGTCTCTGTGTCTTCTATTCTGTGCCATTGGTCTTCATGTCTATTTTGGTGCCAATACCATGTCATTTATGTTACTATAGATCTATAGTATAGTTTAAGATCTGGTATTGTCATGTCTCCTGCTTCATTCTTCTTGCTAAGTATTTCTTTGGCTATTCTGGATCTCTTATTTTTCAAAATAAGTTCCATGATTGCTTTTTCTATTTCTATGAACATCAGTTTAAACCTTGTAGATCAGTTTAACCATGAACTTTCTGAATTCTATCTCTTATATTTCCTCCACTATGGTGTCAATGTATTCAATTGTTGAGGTAGTCTGGATTATTTTGGATGCTTTTTCTCTTGCTTTTTCATATTATTTGTGTATCTACTCATCTATATAGATGTATCTGATGCTGTAGAGTTTATACCTTATGGGTTTATAATGTCCCTCTATGTTACTTGTACCTCATAGACTGGGGTATGGAGGGAGCCTAATGATAGCAACAATGTGTGCAAACAATATATAGCAGTAGACTATGTACTTAGTTCCTATTTTGATATCTAGTATTCACTGGTTCAATACATAGGGAGAGTGGGATCAGCAATTTTAATCAGTAAAAACTGTATATAAATGCATATTATATCTGACTAAAATCAAACAATTGTTGTCGTCTATGCCTTCTTCTGTATTAATTATTGCTATATTAAGTATTGCTGTGCCTAAGTATTGCATATGTGGGCCTTGCCTGATTTGCATATGTGGGCTACTTGTCTTGGAGCCAGTGAAACAGTGGAGGGATTGATATTAATCTTGAATTTCCATATGCATTCAGTTACTAAATTTTGGTGTTTCTTCTGTCTAGGATTCAAAATTATCATTTTTCAATGATTCTGAAATTAAAGAGTATATGCATATTGATTAGATGTATTTCTTTCTCTGCAAGCTTTAATTAAAAAGACAAGATTTTTGCAATTTGCTTTATTTTAGAAGAGGGGAAGTATGATCTTTCCATCTTTTAATTATGTTTGTTCCAATAAATACCAATAAATTGTGCACCTAATAAATTTCAGTCACTGCTCTACATGTGGGGTACTGTACTAAAAAATGCAGATTTCTCATTAATGATTTGACTTATTATTACTTCCTTTCATTAAACTCAAAGCACTTCTAGGATATTTTAATGGATTGTGGTTCTCCAATAATTGATGCCTGAGACTATAAAGGTGTGCATTAAAATCCACAGACAATTGATATATTCTGGGCTATAGGCACAACTTGGTATGGTCTTCTTAAGAATTTACATGGGAGGTAGAGTCCTAAGTATGACTTAGAGGTTATGAGAGCTGTCCCTTATATTTATAAGGGTCACCTGAAGACTGATATGTGCTTATAAATGTGGTCGGGTTGAGGACATAGTTGTGAATTCTCAAGGAGTCCAGGAAGTCATTCTCCCCAGTTCAGTCCCTGCCCACCAGGGGGAGCAGCTTCCTAACACTAGCTCATTTCCTGTGTGAATTGCAACTTTAGGTTCATCATTTCATTATGACTTCAACGTTCTTCATGTTAAGAATCAAGGACATTATTTAGTTGACAGTCTAAAGATGGATACTTCTCTAGGCTTAGTGATGATGATTCTCCCGATACTTGGTGAGTAAAATGTCTTTTAAAATTTGGAAGCTTCTATGATGTTAGCAAAGTTTTTAACCATTAATTTATCTAAGAGCTTTATCCTAAGGTGACCCAAATCTTTTCCTCTGTGCAGGAAGAACTCAAGGAAACTCAGTGACACAGACCGAAGGTCAAGTGATCTTGACAGAGGGGGCTTTGCTGACTATAAACTGCAGTTATTCAACCACAGGGTACCCTTCTCTGTTCTGGTATGTGCAATATCCTGGAGAAGGTCCACAGCTCCTCTTTAGAGTCTCAAAGTCCAATGAAAAAGTCAGCAACAAAGGTTTTGAAGCCACATACAATAGAGAAAACACCTCCTTCCACTTGGAGAAAGCCTCCATCCAAGAGTCAGACTCAGCTGTGTTTACTGTGGTCTGGGTGACACTGTAGCAGAAACTCCAGGGGGAGCTGAGCACAAAATCTGAGCAGCACCCAGGGGCCTGACTGATGAGTGTCTGCCTCTGGTGTCTATTCTGTTTTCAACACAATCTATGGTGTGTGCCACTTGTATGTCTGGTTGATGCAAAATCATTCAAATGTCCAGAGCAGCAGCAGAAAGAGTGGGCATCACCCACACTCAGCTCTTTACTAGTGAAAGTGAAAACAGAGGTTGACAGTGTTAGTTCCTCATGCAGGGCCAAACTAATTTCAAGGTAAAACCCTCAAAAAATGAAATCATCTCTTTGCTCATCCTTGCAGAAAAAGCTTGGATCCCACGTGTTGTTCCAGGTCACCCTGGTAGACATTGCTGTAACTCGTTATATTTTTAGAGAGAGAAATGTGCCACAAGTTGGCATCTGCATAATGTCTAACAATGTGGAAGGAGAGGTGATGGGAGAACTAGATCACAAACCCTTGCAATCCACGATTGCTAATAGAAAAGGAAAAGAAGAGAAGAATGAAGAAGAAATAGACCTCTCACACAGTAACAGTGCAATGAGAGGAAAAGGACATTCCTTGTGCCAGGGAAGGGCGTCTCCTTTGGTTAATCAGATGGTAGACTCAGGATGCTGTTCAAAAGAAAGGGAGGGAACAAATGCACAATTGAAAAAAAATGGCTCTCTCTAAATGATGAGTAGCTCTGGTCAGTTATGTAGCCTGGACTGCTTTCTAAGAATAACTCAGGTGGGTCAGCTTGCAGTGCCCATTGAAGGTTAAAGATATGCTTTTATTCTATATGCTCATGAAACCCCATTAGAAAAACAGCAAAGAATCTCCATAAACACTCCACTCAGTATAGAAAAGAAGATGATGGCAGTGGTGTCAACAGAGTCTTAGTGGGAAGTTTATGGAGAAACTTGCATCACAGTCCAAGTGAAGATAGAAGGTTTCCCTCATGGGAGGAGCATCTAGGGAGCACTGCTGTTATGCTATGTCTTCACAGAAGGTTTAGGTGTCAGAAGCACCAGCTACCCTGGAATCATTGGAGAAGCTGGTGATGGTGGTGGTGGTGGTGTGTGTGTGTATGTATGTGTTGAGAGAGGACTTGAAAGTGAGAGGATGGAAAGAGAGGACCTAATAAAAATGTGTACCAGTGACCATTCCCCATGCTGTCCACCACAGCATGCAAAACAAGAAATTCTCTCTTCCCAAACCCAGTGGAAAATTGGAAATGTATTTCATGAATCTAGGAACAGCACAAAGAGAGTCAAAACTATTCAAGAAGAGGAATACACTAGTCTTTACTCAATATAAGGAAATAGCACATTGTCCAAGAAAAGGCACATACTCAGACTAGTGTATGTGGTTCACAAAATTATCTTCTACATAGGTTTTACTCTCCTATACAATTAATAGTAGTGATTGGGTAGGATATCAGTTTTTCCCAAACCTCATACATTATCACACTTTTTGCCTTTTCTTGTCTGTTGGGCTTTCCTTCTTGTATATTTAACTCATTCAAATATAAATCAGGTGGAGTTTCATTTAACATTTATGTAATTTACATTTTCTGCATACTGTACACTTATATATCTGCTCTTTATTTAATATTATTATCTTCGTTCTTCTCATCTACATTTGTTCTACCCATCACATTTGCAAGCCCTTACCCCCTTTTTAAAAACTTAATTGGGGGGGTATTTATGTATAGCCAAATTGAGAAGAAGTTACAGAGATTTCTCAAACACCCACCCTGGCCCCTTTTAGCCTTCCCTTATCAACACCCTCCCCAACAGCAGTACACTTGGTGCCACCAGTAAACTATACCCCAACATCATTGTTACCTAAAGTTCCTGCTTTACATTAGGGGCCACTTTTGGTGTCATATATCATCTGGGTTTGGACAAATACATAAAGACATAGATTCAACATTATAGCATTTACAGAATATCTCATTTTCTTAATAAGGATAATTTGTCCTCCAGTCTTAATTATCAAAGACAAGGGAGCCCTTTTATTTAAGAAAAAAAATGCCTTAAAGTGTTGAGTGTTAAAATGTTGAAGAGAGTTTGCTTATATACTTTTAATTTCAAATTGCTTTTGTGATCTGTTCCATATAATAGAATATTGAAGTTTTACTATTTTTTTTAGAACTGCTATAACAAATTGCCAGGCTGTGTATTTCAAGCAACAGGAATTCGTTTTCTCCCAGTTCTGGAGTCTGCAAGTACAAGATCAAGTTTTCTGCAGGATCCTTTCTCTTGAGTCTTCTTTCCTTGGTGAGTAAGTGATGTCTTCTCACAATGACGTCTTCTTTTTAAGTCCTCTGAGGATGCGCAACTCTGTGCCCTAATTCCTCTTCTGTTAAGAACACCAGTCATTGTGAAGTAAAATCCATTTATGACTTCATTTTACATTTCTTACTTCTTAAAAGACCCTGTCTTCATACAACATCATGTTCTAAATGTTCTAAGGTTCAGGGCTTCACCATTTTTGGTGAGACAGAATTCAATCCATAATACCCCTCTGAGTGCTTGTCAAAGCCTCTCTGATCCAATATTCTATGAATTTATGGTGCCTGCATTGAATAATTCTTAAAACATTCTAAATTGCAAAATAATGGAAGTAAAGGAATAAGTGAGAAAAATCTAAAAGCTCTTATTTTGATGTGGCTTCTTTGTCCTCTGCTATCTTAGTAGATGGAATTTTCTCATTTTTTTTTATTTTCCCTTCTTTTGAAGGGAATTCTTCAGTTATTCATGGTATTTTGTTTCCTTCTGTTTTCTTGTCTTTCCTAATTCTCTTTTCTGTCTGAATGCTAATTTCATTACCTTCATCATTCTTCACCCTGTGGGCACAGATTGCTCCTCTCCAACAGCTAATAAGTAACTTGCAGCAAATGAGTAACTTGCTGTTCTCCTGCACTCCTCCTTGACCATCAGAATGGGTCTTCTTATGGGACATCTCTTTATTGGGTGCAGTGAGTTTAGTGGATGTGGATGGAGGATGTGGCTCCAGTCCTCACACACAGGGGCACCAGGAAGAGTTACATTCTATATGTTCTGCTTTCCTGGTTATTTCACTTTAAGCTTTTCACAAGCAGTATGTAGGCAAGATTTTTAGTTTTGATTCAATAACTGTTGATTAATTGAACAAAACTTGAGAACAACATTAGCTGGGAATTATTGTCCTTACATTGCTGATGAAAAGCATTATATAAGATTCAATCAGATAATCTCTTTTTGTGCATTGATAGGTTTGGATTGAGTTGCTTGGTATATTGTTGGCTTTTACCTTCATTTTAAAAGTCTGTTCTCTGTTCCATTGACACTAAACTGTTTCATATTTATTTATCAGTTTTTAACTTTTTAACATTTTAGAAAACTTAGAGAATATTTCTCTTCTTATGATAACTACTCTTAAGTTATTTATATGACTAAATAAACATGTATGCAATCACATAAACACTATATATTTTTCTATGCCCTACATTATTATTATTTTTATTTCCTCAGTGTTATTCCACTGCATTTTCTCCTTGCACATTCTACTTCTTCCCTACCTGAGTTAGTATCTTTAGAATCATCTCAGTGACTTCTTGGTAGAAACTACACACCAGGTTTTTTTTAGGACAGTAACTTCAGAGTTTACCTAATGTGTTGAAAAGCTACAGCTCCAATGTACAAATAACAAAAGCAATAAACACAAAAGCCATCCACACAATAATCAGAACATCAATTCATTCTCTTCCTCCTATCAGCCATTGTCCCTGGGCTTCCCACTTTCCTGATGCTTTTCACCTGCTGGCCACCTGTTCCTTCCTCTTAGTTCCTCCTTGTCTCTGTACCTAGAGTAAAATGGCCACATGTGGTTAAAGGGGAATGCCTTGCACAGTTTACTGCCATGTTATATTTCATAGCAAATAACCAACAACAGCTGGAGTGTTCATCAACAGAGGAAGGACAGCACAAACTAGACAAGCTGTGATGTGGTGCTAGGCAGCAGCAGAACCTATCTCTGCTAACATGAGGATACCTACAGGATTTATTATTGAGTTCATAAAAGCAGTTACAGAAAGCTATACACAGGGTGTATCATATTGCATCAAGTAAAAAACTATTAATGGAATACTATGTATTGTCTGTTGTTTTACATATTTGTAGATGATGTAGATTTACAGTAAAACTCCTGGGAGCTTCACCTGTAAATTGAAAGATGAACGGAGAGTTGGGGTAATGAGTGATGAAAGAGCCAGGATTGTAGGGGAAGTCAGAGCTTTGGTCCATATGTAGTATTTTATGACTTTCAATAATTCCGGTATTTGTGAATTTCTCTTAAACATGATGAAAAGTCTTAAAAGCTATCAGAGAGGGTTATTCATATTCTTGTCTATCCTTCTCATATCAAGGCAGAGAAGGGAGGAGAAATTGTTCACCTTCTACAGAAGGATTTTGTTCGAGTATCTCCTAAATAAGTGCTTCTCCAGTCTCTGGGATCATTCACCTTCACTTCATCCTCCTCTCAGGGTCCTACACTTTGATTATATTACAGATATGTTTTTTTTGTCTTTTCCTATAGAATTTAACTAGTTTTTCCTCCCTTTTAAATACACTTATTATTCACTATTAGTAAAATGTGATTGATGTTGATTTATTTTGAACTAAATTAGATAAATTGGATGAATATTCTAGGATAACTACTAACTTGTTTTAAAATGTAGTTTACAAGCTGGGGGTGATGGCACAGGCCTATAATCCCAGAGGCTAAGGAGACTGAGGCTGAAGGACTGCAGGTTCAAAGCCAGCCTCAGCAATTTAGTGAGATCCTGTCTCAAAATAAAAATAACTCGGGCTGGGGTTGTGGTTCAGTGGTAGAGCACTTGCCTACCATGTGTGAGGCACTGGGTTCCATCTTCAGCACCGGATATACCTAAATAAATACAATAAGGATCTATCAACAACTAATAAAAATATTTTAAAAAAATAACTCAAAGTGGATCAAGAACGTAGGCATTAGACCAGAGATGGTGCAACTGACAGAAGAAAAAGTAGGACCAAATGTACATCATGTTTGCTTGGGAACCAACTTCCAATCCAGACTCCTAAAACACAAGAAGTAAAATCAGAATCAACCAATGGGACAGATGCAAAATCAAATGCTTCTTCATAGCAAAGGAAACAACCAAGAATGTGAACAGAGAGCCTACAGAATGAAAGACAATCCTTGCCAAGAACTAAAAAAATTTACCACCAAAAAAAAAAAAAAAAAACAAGTATCCCAATCAAAAAATGGGAAAAGGTACTGAACAGGCACTTCACAGAAGAAGAAATATGATCATTCAGCAAATATGTGAAAAAATGTCAATATATTTATGAACAATTAAGGAAGTGCAATTAGAGAAGGGCAATTTAAAAACTACTCTGAGATTTAATCTCACTCCAGTCAGAATGGCAATTATCAAGAAAACAAGTAATGATAAATGTTGGAGAAGATGTGGGAGAAAAGGTACACTCATACATTGCTGATGGGACTACAAATTGGTACAACCACTCTGGAAACAGTATGGATATTTCTCAGAAAACCTGGAATGGGACCACCATTTGACCTGGCTATCCTACTCCTTAGTATATACCAAAAAGGACTTAAATCAGCATACTACAGTGATGCTGCCACATCAATATTTATAGCAGCTCAATTCACAATAGTTCAACTGTGGAACCAGTCTAGGTTTCCTTTGGCAGATGAATGAATAAGGAAAATGTATTTATACACAATGGACTATTACTCAGCCATAAAGAGAAATGAAATTATGGCATTTATCAGTAAATAGAGGGAACTGGAGGCTATTGTGCTAAGTGAAATAATCCAACCCCCCAAACCAAAGGCAAAATGTTTTCTCTGATATGCGAATGCTAATTCACAATAAGGGAGGTGGGTAGGAAAAAATAGAAATTCACTGGATTAGACAAAAGGGAATTAAGAGAAGGGAAGGGGAATGGCAACAGAAAAGATAATAGAATGAACTGGACATTACTTTCCTATGTTCATATATCAATACACAGTGTAATTACACATCATGTGCAACCAGACAAATGGGAAGTTATACTCCATATATGTATAATATGTCAGAATACAATCTATGGAGATATATAGAAAAAAAAACAAAGAAAAAGAAAACAAAAGGACTGGGGAGGTGGCTAACTGACTGAGCACACATGGGTTCAATCCCCAGGTTAAAAAAAAGCATTATGCAGAAAATTTCATAAAACTTGTTCAAAAATTTCTAAAAATTTTTTTCATTTTTATTTTTTTTAATTGGCTGGGGTTTTGAATCCAGAGGCTTGTGTCATTTGCTCTACCACTAAGCTACTTCCCCACTCGGGAAAGTGGTTTATTTTTATTTTCACTGACTCTAGACAGTCATTTTATTCTATGACCATCTGCATTTCCTGAACCAGGTACCATAGAGTGAGTGGGGCTGGGTTGAATGACTGCTGAGGACTTGATTGGTCTTAGGTGACATACATTAATGGAATCAGTCCACCAGGGGGCACTCCAGGCTACAGGAGGAATAACTTCTGTGGATTTCTAGAGGGTGAAAAATTAAGTGAGACTCAAGAATGGCAAGGGGGCATCCTGTGCTTGTGAAAGTTCATCTCAGGTCTTCAGCTCTGCCATTCTACATGAAACCTCGGAAAGCTGGAGACTACCTATATTTATTGGAACTCATATCTATAAATTCATTGGAAGGATGATTTTCTGAGCAGAGATTAAGAAATTGGAATTTTACTTGGCATATAAGGATGGAGATCCATTAGAAAACATTCCTAGTACTTGGCCTCATTTTTTTGTTTTATTACAGAAATTCTCAAAATACACTGATTTAGAAATTATTCCAATACTCTTGATAGCAAAATTTTTTATATATCTTCTTTGAGACTAGAAGGAAAAAAAAATAGGCAGAAGAAAAGATAAAAAAATGAAGACCAAAGGCAGAAGAAGAAAGGGACAGGGCAATAGTGACATGGGCAGCAATGTGTGGCCTTCAGGGTGTAAGGGAAGAGGCTGGATAGCAGAAGGGGAGAAGTAGAGAATAAAATATAGTGGACATCATAGGCATAACCTTTTTTCCTTTATACCAATGAAACTCTTGTTGGAAACATTTTCAATGTAGAAGAAGATCCTCATTTCATGAAATGTTTTTTATTTCTTAATGCTCATTGCATGCTATCATATAGTTTCTTTGATAAGAATTTTCATATAATT